TGTCATCCAATTAGCATTTAGTGTATCAAATTAATATTCAATTTTAAATAATTAACATTTTATTCATCAAATTAACATCCAATATCATCCAATAAACATTAAATTCATCAAATTAATAAAAAATTAATATATAGTTCATCAAATTAATATAAAAGTAATATTTAATGTTAAAATACCAAAAACAAATTTACATATTAAAATTCAAGTTGATTAAATTTCGTTTTTCTACATATTAAAATTTAAGTCGATTAAAATTTTGAGCTCAACCTAGCTACTAGCTCCTAGAACTAATTAAAATTCGATTCGAGTCGATTGAATTTGTATTTTTTTTACTTCTTAAAATTCGTGCTAATTAAAATTCGATTCAAGTTGATGAAAATTTATTTTTTACGTATTAAAATTTTAATAAGTAAAAAATAACTTGATATTAGTCTGTTGACAAAATTTGGTAACTAAATTAATGTTTATTTAGTAACTAAATTAATGTTTATTTAGTAAAATTGGCGGTCATGTTGGTAGTAATTTTATGAAATTAAATTTTAATAAATAAAATTGAAGGTCAATTTTATATTAATTTTAATGAAAGTGAATTTTGAATTGACGAAATTTTTAATTGGTGAAATTAAGTTTTATAAATGCTTATGATCTATCATAAGAACTTGATATCTATCACAAGATTACAGTAATCTCCCCCAAAAATAATTTTTTTGGAGATTGTGATCGATCATAGAGTGAAACGATATATCATAGTACTTCATGACAATTTTTTTTTTCTAAGAAGAAAATTTGTGATCGATCTTATGTTTTTATGATAGATTATAGTACTATGTTTTTTGTAATCTATCACAAAGGTTTATAATATACCTTAAAATGGTAAAAGAATGTTTGAAATTGATCACAAGTATCCTTGACTTAATTTTTTTGAAAAATTGTAAGTTTGAGATCGATCACAATTGTCTATGATCAATCAAACGGTTACTAGAGTGAGATTTAGTAAAACTGTAGACAATTTACCACAATTAAGGGTAGATTTACCACCTTTGAGGGTAAGTTTATAACAATTGTGGATAAATTTACAAGTTTAGATGTTAATTTACGACTGTTCTGATTAATATTGTCACTGTTTTTGATAAATGTTATGACAATTCTAGGTAACATTACGAGGATTAAGAATAAATTTATGACAAAAAGAGGTTAAGTTAAAACCATGGTGAATAAATTTACGACAATTGGAGAAAGGTTATGACATCAAAGGGAAAATTTACTATAATTCAGGGTTAAATATAATGATTATGTAAAATTTTCACTATTATTGTAAATTTCTCACTAATATTATAAATTTTTTATTAATTTTGTAATTTTTCCCACAAATATTTGTAAGTTTAGAATGATTGTGGTTAAGGTTATTAGTATATATACAAATTTTACTTTCATTTTAGTTAATATTTTGAGAACTGTGGATAATAATAATACAAATTTAAAGGTAAATTTACTACATCAGTAGGATGCACTAGTGTTATATTTAAGACAAATATGGTTAAAAATGTCAATCGTATTTTTACCACCGTATTGATTAAAATTTGCCCACACTGTTGTAATTTACCCACTATTGTTATAAATTTTTCACTGATGTTGTAAATTTTTCATTGATGTTGTAAATTTGTTCACTACTGTTGTAATTTTTTTCACTAGTATTGTAATTTTTTTACTAATCGATCAGTTAATATTAATGATTTATCACAAACTCACAAATATAGTTTTGTACTTCAAATAGTGGTAAAAGTTTGCCCACTATTGTAGTAATTGTGCTCATTATTGTAGTAAATTATCCATTGATGTTGTAATTTTGTTCACTATTGTTATAAATTTTTTACTGATGTTGTAATTTTTTCTATTATTATGATAATTTTATCCACTATTGTTATAAATTTTTTTATTAATGTTATAGTTTTGTTTACTATAATCGTAAACTTTCCAGTTTTCCATTGATAACTTTTGGGTATGATACCGAAATATTTCATTTCGGTATGCTACCTTAGTCTGCTCCTAATTAGATATTTAATCAGCAATCAAAACCAACCCCTCTGTCAAGATACACTCCATTTGCCAGAACAAAGGTGTTTGAGATAAGGTGATATAAGCCATTTGAGGACAAAAGAGCAATGGATTGGAGTGAGAAAATATATAAGAGAGAGATTTTACTAAAATAAAAAAATTCAGTACCAGAACCTCTAAAATTTATTAATTTTCTAAATATTTTTATAACAAAAAAATTTATTATTTTTGTACATATTTTTATCATTTTTGTAAGTATTTTTATTACTATTATAATAATTAATTTACCATTTTTTTTGGTAAATTAATATTATTGTGGGTGATTTATCTTTTTATCAAAAATTATTATTATTGTGGGTGATTTATCAAAAATTATTATTATTGTGGGTGATTTATCTTTTTTTATGTGTTTTTACCACATTGTTATAGTAATTATTTTTATTCTTATGATTCTATTAGTTAGGGCAATCAAAGTGGTCTCTAAAGTTCTAAACGCTCTCTTTTGTCATCACCTTTTTCTTAACAAGCAAAAAAAAATTATTATTATTTTTTGAGATTATAATCTATACAAAAGTGGTTAACAATGAAATTTTTTTGATTTCCTCTTTTACTCTCAATTAATATAATAATGTCCATTATATCCCTCTTACCCATTTAACTTCTTAAATTAAATACATATATTCCATGGTCTTCTAAAACTAATTACATTCATAAACATCTACATCTATACTACTTATAACACTATTTAATTTTTTACTACCAATCATGTCATATTGCATCATTCAATATCTATTCAATATTGCACAAAATCAACTGTAATCGTTAGATCAATAATGGAATTCACTGATCCAACAGTTGCAAGTGATTTGATACAAGATTTGGTGCACATAACATTGCTCATATTATATTATCTATCTATACTATTTCTAAACATCAATCCTTATACAAAACTTTTGATTGACAATAATGTCATTAAAACATGCTAAAAATCAAATAATATTATTTTGTTGTAATTTTTCACTGCCTAGAAGTCTCTCTTGTGTGTTACTGTCAATTAAAGAGACATAACTCTTAGAGAACTCTTAGAGTTCTATAACTCAAATTCTTTTAGACATGTAATTTTTATGTTTCTTTATTTATTTACACATTTTTATTTATTCTTATTTTTATTTGCAATTTTTTTATGTTAATTTTGAGTAGTTGGTTTCAAATAACACAAACTACAATAGTATTATTTGTTGAAAGCACATAAGATTATTGTATCAACAATAATGAAATTTATGCGCCACCTATTACTCAAAATATCAAACTAAAGTTCGGCCACATTAATTTAGAAATCAAACATTGTATAAATTTATAGGTTAAAACTTAAGAGAGCTAAGATTTTGGTGCGACAATAATTAAATTATGTACTCAATAAAACAATTCTAGAATATATCATTACATATAAGTTTTATTAAATTTTATTTTGATTCATAAGTATATATTTGTTAATATATTTATTTGATTATTTTGTAAGAATAAGAAATAGATATAGTCTTAGTTAAAATTAAGATAAAAGCTATAATACGTATATCCGCCACCAATTGAAACTTGAACAATTTCATATCTTTTATATTCTCGCTTCTTTTACAACTATGTTATGAACCAAGAAATATGAATTAATCATATAGCATAAAATGTTTATTCATAACATGTTCGATCCAAGTCTTTTGAACAAACAATTTTATGAAATATTTTTTTGAAGTATTTTGAAGATGTTTCGACATTAGCTACGCATAAGATCTATTTTTTAGAAGATTGCATTTTTGGCATTTTACATAAGAAAATTCAGCAGACATAATTATTGATATATTTGAGATTAGCGGGTAAGATTTTAATTGCGAATTTCATTGGCGATCATATATTTCGATTTAGAGAAAATTAAAAACTAAAATTATAATTTAAAATTATCAGCGTATAACCCATCCATCAACTAGTAATAATAAAAATATTCAAAAATATAATAAATATAGGTACAAAACTTTTTTTGTTTTTTTTTTTGGGCTACCGTAAACAATTCTATATGAGACAATGAGAGAGAGAGGCAAAGGACAACACAGAGATAGTTAGGTGGCCATGCAGTTGACCATTGGTCCACCCCACCAATCAGTCAATCCATTTACAGACCCAAAAAAGCCCATTTAATCAAGAAAAAAAAAATATTTTGAATAAAAAAAACCCATTTACACATCAAAAAATATTAGGGCATGATTTTAAAAATGGATCAATAAATCAATAATTCCAGACAAAGAAACAATCTAATTACATTTCTTTTTTATCCCTTAAAATTAAAAAATAATTTTATTATTAATTATAACTATATCATGTTTTATTAAGTCATGAGTAATAAAATTAATATCAGATTAAGACGTATAAAGAATTTAATCAAATCATCAAGGCGATATGCCATTCAAATAGTTAAAAGTATTAAGTTAACAAAATAGAGGAATTTGTGACTAATACATTAATTTTACAATATTATGAGTTTTTGAAAAATACCATAATTAATATTAAGGAAAATTAAGATATACTTCGAGTTAATAACAAAATTATTTGTTAGTTTATATGGGATAAAGGCAGAATTTAAGTAGAATATACTTCTTTATAATCATTTCTGAAAAGTGTGACTTATTAGTCTAATTTGAAAATATTATGGGAATTGATAGTTTTTTAGAGTATAAAATAGGATATAATGATATTTGGTAATATTATGTAATTCAAATTAACGAGACCATTGGATGAGTGGAAATGAAAATTATTGATTTGAAATGTAAATTTGAGTTATATAGTATTGTTCAATCATAAATTTTCCTAAAAAAGTTAAAATTACTCAAACTTTTTTTATAAAAAGAAAATTAGACTAAACACCAATTATCTGGATTTCCTTACTTTTCTCTTCTGCAGTCCTACGATGACTTCTGTGTATTAAGCTGGGAAACGAAAGACTCTCTGTTACTCTCTCTGATCTCTCTCTCTCCCTTCTTTTTTCTCTGTTCCAAACTCAAAAAAGCACAGCCGACGACCTCAATGGTTCTTGAGTTAGCCACCCAGGGTTCTCTCTCCTAAACAGGCTCAAAAAGTCAAATCCTTGTGCTCATAATAGTAGGCTGGTGTGCATAGATTGAAGTTGTTTAAGGTTTCTCTTTCTGGGTTCTAGTTTTTGTTTCCATGTAATGTGCATATGTTAGTTTTTGGATTTATCTTTGTGAATATATACATTTTGTAACTACCTTTGTGTTGTCTTGTTAAAATCTGGGTTATATAATGCAGATTCAGTTGGGTGCTGCAAAATGACAAATAAATGAGATTTAATGAGAGAAAATAGATTCCATAGTTTGTGGGTAGTCGCCATTCTGATTAGTTCCAACTTCTCCCGTGTGTCTTTCTCTTATTTGGAATGCTTACCTATGAATAATGCATTTGGGTTTGATGTGTGATGTTATTTATGTGCTTAAAGTTTTTTTTTTCTGGGAACTTTCTGATCCTATCTTATCCTGGAGTTTTATCCTGCATTCTGATTTTCTTTCCTTTTTGGAATAATATTTTATTTATAAGTGAATGGTTTTAGAGTTCATGAGAATGGGCCCATGTATCAAGAATTTACTGTTGTTGTAGAAAATTCTGTTGGTTCGCATGGTCTCCTTGATTATTCTTTAATCTACCCATTGGTGTAATGTGAAATTGCAGTTATTGTTGATCTGATTAGGGATTTCAGTTGACTCGTGTCATATCAATCTTCAGGGTGTGTCATTTGGATTAGTGTCTGGTGTTGTTCAACCCTAACCCAATCTATCTAAATAATCAAGTCAGAAGTAATAAACCCCCAGATGCTAATTCCATGTTAAGTTGTCAAATTATTGTGTTGTGTTGCAAATTGATGCTAGGAAAATTGAATTCCTAAGTTCATCTGTGACTTCCAGTGACATATCATAGAGCCAATAGACTCTGGCTAGCACTTTCTATATTCCTTGAGGATGGAGGTGAAAGAAGCAGAGAGGATAGTTATAGCTAAACCGGTTGCTTCAAAGCCTACCTGCTCCGGTTATAGGACCTTCTCAGAGCTCCTTGCAGGTGCAATCAGCGCATCGCCCTCTAATGTATGTACTGGTGCTGCAGTCACTCCAATCAGACCAAAGACGGTTAGGTTCAAGCCCATGGCAAACATCCCTTCAGTTGGGGTGATTTCCTCCCAGGTGACCTCTTGATTCATGGACTTCTCTTTTAGATTTCCTTTTCTTTCCATTGGATATTTTCCCTTTACTGTTATGGGGTTCAATGATTTTAGGATTTGAAATCTGGAGCTGCAGTTGTTGATTCATTTGACAACGTCTTAAAATCAGAAAGCAAATCCACTGTGGTTTACAAACCCTTGGCGAAGCTTTTATCAAAGACCCCAGTCTCTCTCCTAGCAAATTCGGTCGGTATCTATAAATTAGATACCATTCTGCTTTGAATTTCTGTACTTTTTTTCTTTGTCCTTAGCATAATTATCTGGTATTGTTGAAGATTTAAGGTTTATAATACTTTTTTCTAATCTCTTAGATTTATGTAGTCCCAAACATGAGCCTACTTGAGATCATGTGTAGAGGACAACTTGGCTTTGCTATTTATCTGTATACATTTATCGGCTATATACTGAGATATGAGTGTCACTTTTATGTCTAGGTAAGCAATATCAGCCACCAACAAGGATTGTTTCAGGCTGGGTCCTGCCCCCAGCTTTCTTATCAAGTCAAACACCATTTAGAATCTGACCTTGGATCGAATCTCCATAAGGATTTTCCATCACAATCAGAAACAGAGAAAATCATGGAGCCCTCCAACATGACACCAGAGAACTTGGAAGAGGATCCAAGAACTTCACAACCCATAGCTAATGGTGATCGACCTTCTTATGATGGATATAGTTGGAGGAAATATGGACAAAAACAAGTTAAAGGAAGTGAGTACCCACGAAGTTATTACAAATGCACACACACCAGTTGTCCAGTGAAAAAGAAGGTTGAGCGGTCATTTGATGGACAGATAACAGAAACTGTCTACAAGGGTGAGCACAACCACTCAAAGCCTCAGCCTCCTAAGCGCAACACATCTGGGGGACAAGGGCAAGGGTTTGTATCTGATGGAACTGTTCAATACACAAATAGCCAACTGTGGAGCAACCAAATCAATGGAAGGAATGAATGTTCTGAAGGTAGAATAGAAAATCAGAGTGAAGTAGGATTATCTGTCAATTCAACTTCGCCGGGGAAAGCTTTATTATCTGATCCTGCTACTTCTGGAAAATTCAAAGCTGATGTCCCTACTCCAGATAATCCTTGTGGTTTGAGTGGCAATTGTGATGAAGAAAGGAAGGGAGTAGAAGCAGAAGATGATGAACGCAAAAGTAAGAGAAGGTAAGTTATTAACTTTTGGTACAAGTTATGACAGGAAAAAATACTCTATCCAAGTTGCTTTGATTTGCCAATCAATGTATATACTCTGTTTTCCGGTTAAAGCTTGTGCAGTTTTCTTTCCCATCCTTTCTTTCTCTTCTTTCTTTTTTTTTTCGTTTAATTCTGGAAGTCCTTTTTCTTGTTGAAGGGTGGGGGTCCTTTTGATATATAGAGTACCACAAACCGTTTAGTTGATTCCTTGAAATTCATTTTAAGACAATCTAATCACATATTTCTTACACTTGAGATTGAATTTGAATTTAGTTTTTTTTTTCAGTTTAAGCATTCTTGAACGATCTTACATTGGACTATTATTGATTTCGCTCTCTTTTCTTCTAGGAAAAATGAAAATCAATCCCATGAAACAGGCATATCACAGCAAAGTGCACAAGAGCCTTGCTTTGTGGTGCAAAATTCCACTGATTGTGAGATTGTTGGGGATGGCTTCCGCTGGAGAAAATATGGGCAAAAAGTTGTGAAGGGAAATCAATATCCCAGGTTAATACTAACTTTCTGAAGTATGCATTGTATGCTATCATAGTATTGATTATCAAGTGTCGAAATAGTATAATGGTTGTTTTTCACAATGTTTCTGAAATTTGGTCTTCAGTCTTGGTGATTTGTATATTCTAATGTGGTTGGTCCATCTATCTTCCACATTTACAAAATTTTATGCTTCGTTGTTCTATTTTCTTTTCTGTGCCTGCAAAGAATAATCCAGTTTAGTTTATTGAAATTATGGTGTCCTTCAACTAACAAACCTTGTCATGGCCTCCCTCTTGACTTTCGATGACATTAATGCCTATGAACACTTTATTTCTTCTAAACAAGCTGCAATCCTTAGGTAAGTTGTAAATGGGTGATCAAAATTTTCTTGCACCTAGAAGTTCAGAACACACTAGAACAGAGCTGAGTATGTCTCGTAAACTCCATGGGAGGACAATTATATTTCAAAACCCTTATTGATTATTTCAAATTAGGTAGTTTCTGTGCTAGTATGGTTTGTTCATCGAATAAAACAGGCGCTCTTAGTATTAAAAAAAACATCTATAAGATTAATAGTAGTAATGTCAGTGAATATGGTAGGTACTAATGCTTACTTTAACTGTTAGTGTTGGCACTAATTCCACTATCAAGCACTAGAACATGTGGTGTCTTGTTCTTTTTTTCTAAAGTTTTGTGTGGCTAATCTCCCATGTATTCTTACACTACACTATGCTTGGTCGAGCAGAAGTTACTACAGATGCACCAGTCTCAAGTGTAATGTGCGAAAGCACGTTGAAAGAGCATCAGATGATCCAACAGCCTTCATCACAACATACGAGGGGAAACATAACCATGACATGCCAATCAAAAGCACAACCCCAATGGCATCTGAACCAGCTTCAAAGCCCAAATCATGACTGATACTGTGGATATAAAATGATTGCCAACCCAGTGATTGAATTGGCAAACTAAGGCCAATGAGGACATTGGAAATCAAAGGACTGGATTGATTTTGATGCCCACAACCGGTGATCCACTACAAAATCTAAAATTTTCTTCGCAAGTTGTTATAAAAACCATTGCCGCTGAGATTTGCTTTGGGTGGAATATTAAGATTATAAATGTGAGATTTTGTGGCCCTCTTTACCTCTTGTTGCTTGTGTTTGGCTTATCAGTATGTTTGTTATACCTTCCAATTGTTTTTCAGTTCAATTCTTCACACAGTTCAATCTTATTCACACACTGCACCTTACAAGTTAAATGTTATTTGCTGTCATCCCAGAGACATCGTTCTTAAAATGGTTGCAATGTGCCCCAACACCTGGATGACGTTAGGTTTCCATATATATAGATAATATAACGTCAATTTGTTCCATACAATTGTTTATTAATTTCATTTTGCACCATAAAATTCAATTGCCTCGGCGCACCTGCATGGCATGTAGGGTGTTAACTGACGAAAAAAGAGTCAAAAACTGATATCATTAACGACTTCTAGCACATTGCTACCATTAAAAGTAGTAAAAGAAATTCAAGGTATATTACAATACTTCTAATCTTTGATGACACAATAAAAATTTGTAAATCTTTCGGGACAAAATGCATTTCACCCCTGAAGCAAAAGTTTCTTCTAGTACAGCTTTCAAGTTTCATTGTAATGGAAGTAGGTAAAACTACCCTTCACAAGTTACTACAAAAGGTACAAAGTAGGTGAATGAGCATGTGAATGCACACTGCTCTTAATGGCTTAGTAATGGCACTTGCAGATGCTTCACATTGGAAACCAATCACCTCAAAAAAGGCACTATACCCCTCAAACTGCTCCTCTGCTGTTAATTTTTAACAATAGAAGTGGTGTTGATAAAAACGAGGTCGTTTTATTTAACTAAACGACATTGTTTTAGAGTAAAACAACGTTGTCTTAATCAAAACACCTTTACTAAAATTAACAACAGAGAATCCTCAACCTGTTAAAGGAGGATACTTTGAAGTTCTCTCTTAAATCAGTAAGCCTTTATGTCACAGCAAGTTCTAAAGAAAACCATCATTGCTTGTAATGTTCCACGGGGCTCTCTCCTTTTATACTGAAAATTGAGATAAAATGGTCCCTATAATTTAGAAAAGGGCATGTTACATATTATTTCCTTATATACATTACTTTTTGATAGATTAGAAATCTACACATAACCCTCTTGGATTTTAAACCAATTGAANTGGTTTGGCTCAATAATACATTGCTTTTTGATAGATTAGAAATCTACACATAACCCTCTTGGATTTTAAACCAATTGAAATCCTTAAAAATTCCAGCTAAAGTCAATATTTTTAATGGAATAGAATATCAAAATAATTTTTATACTCTGATTATTTTCTCGTATAATAAATCGACCTCTTTCTTTCTCTTCCATTTCTATGTATTAAGTAAAATTATATGTGTCAAACACATATTTTTAGAAAGAAAAAACCGAAAATTTTGATATTTAAAAAAAAAATGAAAGGGTATAATTGACCTTTGCCAATATATTGTCGCACTAANTTATTATTTTCTCGTATAATAAATCGACCTCTTTCTTTCTCTTCCATTTCTATTTATTAAGTAAAATTATATATGTCAAACACATATTTTTAGAAAGAAAAAACCGAAAATTTTGATATTTTAAAAAAAAAATGAAAGGGTATAATTGACCTTTGCCAATATATTGTCGCACTAAAATGGAAGGGTATTATTGTCCTTGTAACGCTAAAATGTTTCAATTCATAAATCTTTCGTCATTTCGGAGTTTAGTGAAAGTTCATAGTATTAAAAATACAAAAATCTATTAACATCCGCAAAGATTGGCCATTAAAAGCCAAGTTGCATCTTTATAGTGTAATTAATATTGCGTTTTGCAGGTGTTTGATAAAAGGTGTAGATGTTGAAAATGGGTTTGTTTTTGGCCCTCAAACTCGTTGTAAAGTCCTTCAATGCGGCATCTTGGACCAATTTTTTCTTCTGATAGCATTTTCAGTGTATTACCTCTTGAGAGACTCCTCCATAGCTTTAGGGAAGAATGGTTTTAGGTTAATTGGCTACTATAATGTTTCGAGCTGTAAGACACCACTGCTTTCGATTTGAGAACAATGTACTTACCCTTACTTTTGTGCCCTTTTTTTAATTTTTGGGTACTGCTAGGGTGCAACTCGAATGGTTGACGGGTTGTAAGATTAACTCTGGTTCCACCAAACATATAATACCCTCAACTCAAGTTCAATTTTAACTTAAATTTGATATGAATTCTCCAATTCAAGTGTTATCCATGTTTAAAATTTTCAACTCCAATAACATAATTTGGGAATGATGCCCGGTTTATATAATTTTGAGCTGAAAAATAGGCTCGAGTTGATTTGAATTCGGATTCAACTTATGTTAAATTCAAATTCCATTATGCCTTTACACTACTTAGGTAAGAATTCCTTTATGGTTATTGTGTTTATTTTATATCAGATTATAACTTTTTGTTCTAGTTCGTCTCGAGTACTGAAAATTATTACGTAAGTGCCAAATATTTCAAATTGGGTTCGTGATGAGTGTGGCTTGAGCTGCCCAAATTGAATGATTGGGTAGTGCTTGTTGATTTGCCATTGTGATTATGTGCAATGGGTAATCTTGAAATAAAAAGACAAGCCAAGAAAGATGCCATCAAAACCATAGGAATAGTGCCCATTTTTGGTGGGTTTAGGAAGGAACATAAAAAGGTTTGTGATTTTCTCATGGGTGTCTTCTTTGGTTCAAAACATTATGGTGCATTCTCTGATTATTCTTTTATTATTCAATTAGATGGATATAATTGGTGGTTCTTAGGGAGAGAAGATCAAGTTAAAGAAAGGAAAAAAAATGGAAAAAATAATAATATAATAGCTAAAAACCTAATCCACTTTTTGTTGGTGAATATAGCTGTCTTATTATTGTTTTTCTTTATGGTTGGAGATCAGTAGACCATCTTTTGGTTACTTTATATCTTTTGCTACTTACTAGAGGCCCACTAATTATTAAATAGTCACTAGAAAAATATATATCCTGAAAATAAATAAACTACAAAATATATATGGACGCAAAAGGGATAGGTTAAGGTCCTCTCTGTTTGCAAGTATTCCCATTTCACTTTCAGCATAATCATTTGCTTAATATTTAAGTAATATGCAATTTGTTAGAAAGAAAGTTCAGATTTTTCCTATGTATAATAATGGATTCAATTATTTCTAGACCGAAGAAGAACAGGAGATTGTACGGTTGATGACTCTAGAACGTGTTTAATGGTTAGACAACTCTATTTCTCGAATGAGTCTGTTTTAATCTTTTTCACGATGAACTTGAATATTGAAATAAATTTTAAGTAGATAAATCTTGGAAAATTTTTGTAGACATAAAAACCAGAAAGAAATCTTATGGTTCCACATTTGTTGTTCAGCAGAATTAACACAAGGTAGAGGTAAATATGTAGGGATTAAAGACAAGATCTTTTTTGCACTTTGACCAGGTCTGCAGCATAAAACAAGGTATACACAAAGCAATAATCCATTTACAGGTTCTTAACCAATAGTCTCTCTCCTCTTGGTCTATGTCAGTTTTCTCGTGTTGGGCCTGCCTTTTTTCATAACTTGTTGATACCTCTTGAGCTGCTACTCTCTACACATAACAGCTGTGAGAAGAGAGAGAGAGAGAGGGATGGGCTGGTTTCCTTGCTCTGGACAATCAAAGCAGACAGCAAACAAGAAGAGGAAGAAGAAAGAGCAACTTGATCGAGCCCAAACCACTTCAGGTATGTGTACATATATGTATGTTCTTAGGCATATGTGCTATAAAATTCAAGTGATTATTTGTTGAGGTATAGCTTTGTTATGAATACATGTGGATATTTTAGATGATTCTTTGAATACCCATGTGTTTTGTTGATTCAATTCTCCTAGTTATTTGGATTCTACTAGAAATTAGTTGAGGGTTTTGAAGTACAATCCACCACNTGGCTTTGTTATGAATACAAGTGGATATTTTAGATGATTCTTTGAATACCCATGTGTTTTGTTGATTCAATTCTCTTAGTTATTTGGATTCTACTAGAAATTAGTTGAGGGTTTTGAAGTACAATCCACCACCCATTCCACCTTTCATTCCAGTCTGAATTTATACATACATAAGCTCAAATGCTTCTGTTGTTTTTGCATATAATATGCATAAGCAAATAAGTGGTAGGAAAGTTATAATTTATGTCATTTCCTTTTGTCCCCAGATGATGAAATAATTTCTCAGGTCAGTCTCATAGTGAGTTAGGCTAAGTCACTTTGGATTCCTAACTCTCTTGGAAGCAAACCAATTAGAGGGAGTAACTTGTGGTGGCTTTAGATCTTTGTTTGCTTATTTATTTGTTATTCATTATTTTGATATTTAGATTTCCCACCCTTAACATCTATTTTTGATTGGCNACCAATTAGAGGGAGTAACTTGTGGTGGCTTTAGATCTTTGTTTGCTTATTTATTTATTATTCATTATTTTGATATTTAGATTTCCCACCCTTAACATCTATTTTTGATTGGCCACTGAGAGCTTATGAGTTTGGTTCGACCTTGGTGTTTTCATTGTATGTAGTGGAACCACCATAATTGAGGTTTTGGTGAATCTAAGTTTATAAAAATGCCTACTAATGGGCCTGAAGGATGGAATCTTGGCACAGGTTTAACGACCCTGGGGCATTGTCCAGTTTTGAAAATAAAATGGATAGATGCTGCAACATACGGGTTTTCTTGTTGAGTAGCTTTTTTTGGAGAAGAATTACATAGATGGCGTGAGTGCCAACTCCTAGATCTACAAGCAATCATTCATAAAAACTGTCTTAATAGGAGTAATGCAAATTAGACCAAAGATTGTGCTGAAGATTATAGCTGACAAAATATTCTCATCAGAACTTGGCATNGCCCAGTTTTGAAAATAAAATGGATAGATGCTGCAACATAGGGGTTTTCTTGTTGAGTAGCTTTTTTTGGAGAAGAATTACATAGATGGCGTGAGTGCCAACTCCTAGATCTGCAAGCAATCATTCATAAAAACTGTCTTAATAGGAGTAATGTAAATTAGGCCAAAGATTGTGCTGAAGATTATAGCTGACAAAATATTCTCATCAGAACTTGGCATCTATAACAAATAGCTCAAGAACT